TTTTTTTTTTTTTTTTTTTTTTTTTTCCAAAATGATGAGAGCTATTGTTAATTTTAATTTGCAGAAAGAAGTAGTAACACTCCTAGAGGTAGTTTTAATATAAGATTTATGTCAACAACATTCAGTCGACCCTGAATTACATGGCAGGTTCAGATGGACAGTTACTGGCTTTTCTTGTGTAGGGAACGGCCAAATCCTGCCCTGCTGCCACAACCCAAAGACAGCAATCTTAACTGACCGCTGTAGGACCCTAGGGTGTGTAAACATTGAATTCAGAAGGCCTTAAACTTTCTTCTCACCTAAACTGATGCTCAGCACAATTGTTTTAACATCCCAGGTGAACCCCTCAGACCGGTACCGTGTAGTGGGGATCCTCGCCCCAGGCTCTCCACAGCAGGACTCTGCACACACGGGATCTGCATCAACGGCAGCGGTAACGGGAGAGGAGATCCAACATGGTCAAGTCCTTCCCGTGCTTGTGAACTGGTTAAAAAGTATAATTCTTGCTATATGAAACCATGTTATCTGAGTTGGTACCTGAGCACAACTCACAAGCGAAACGATCCTGCCAGCAGAGCACATTTTGCCACCAAAATACTTGATCAGCAAGTTTACTCCTTCAAGCAACAGGACATCAGAGCAATTAAAAAGTGAAGAGGGAACACGTATCTTGAAGGACAGTGCCTGCAGAGGCAGTTAATTTGAAGGAAGAAGAGATTGGAAGAGCTCTCCAGGCCCATCAAACGGTTACTGCGCTCCACAGGGGCAATAAGGGGTTGGCTGCTTGCTCTCTCCTTTATTTCCCTTGGCAGGCTGTTGCAGAACCCAAACCTTGGAAGCATTAAGCACTTTTCTTCCAGTTTGCAGTTGAAGTTACTCCGGGCCAGGCAGTATGCATTTTTTCAGGTGCCCACACCTTCAGTCTTAGTAACTGTTCACCCTAAGCGTTATTTCCCTCTTGTGCATTCACAGGAGTCACCCCACTCCTCTCCCACTTGCTTTCCTGGCCCGAGCACATCCCGCACTCCTGATGTCTAGGCCAACTAGGGCACAGCGATCACAAAATATTTGAGTTCTCTATTCTTAGAGAGGTCAGGAGAGAGCTAAGCAGGACTGACATCCTGGACTTCAGAAGGGCGGACTTTGTCTTGTTTAGGCACCTACTTGAAAGGATCCCCTGGGAGTCTGTCCTGAAGGGTACAGGGGCCCAGGAGGGCTGGGCGCTCTGTAAGAAGGAAGTGTTAATGGCTCAGGAGCGGGTGGTCCCCAGGTGCTCTAAGAGAAGCCGACGCCAGAGAAGACCACCCTGGCTGAACAGGGAGCTTTGGCTGCAACTCAGGGAGAAAAGGAGAGTTTACAGCCTTTGGAAGAAGGGGCTAGCCACACACAGTGATTACAGAGAGGCTGTGAGGCTGGGCAGGGTGGAAATCAGATGGGCTAAAGCCCAACTGGAAATTAATCTGGCCTGTGCAATCAAGGATAACAAGAAAAGTTTCTGTAAGTATGTCAGTAGCAGAAGAAAGTCCAGGGAGAGTCTCCATCCCCCGCTAGATGCAGGAGGAAATTTGGTAACAAGTGACAAGGAGAATGCTGAGGTGCTTAATGCCTTCTTTGCCTCAGTCTGTAATAACAAGGTTAGTTGTATTGATGCAATCCAGCCTCCGCAGCCAGAATACAGAGACTGGGAGAACGACCCCCCTGCAATCCAGGAGACAGTCAGTGACCTGCTGCATCACACAGACACACACAAGTCTGTGGGACGGGACGGGATACACCCGAGGGTGCTGAAGGAGCTGGCTGGGTGCTCGCCAGGCCACTTTCCGTCATTTCCCAGCAGTCCTGGCTGAGCGGGGAGGTCCCGACTGATTGGAATTTGGCCAGTGTGACGCCCATCTATAAGAAGGGTCGGAAGGATGATCCGGGAAATTACAGGCCTGTCAGCTTGGCTTCAGTGCCCAGGAAGGTGATGGAGCAGCTCATCCTAAACGCCATCCCCACATGAGGGACAACCAGATGCTCAGGCCCAGTCAGCATGGGGTTATGAAAGGCAGGTCCTGCTGACAAACCTGATCTCCTTCTATGACAGAGCGACCTGATTATTGGATGAGGGAAAGGCTGTGGATGTAATGTACCTGGACTTTAGCGAGGCTTTTGACACCATTTCCCACAGCATTCTCCTGGCAAAAATGACTGCTCGAGGTTTGGACAATCGCACACTTCGCTGGGTCAAAAACTGTCTGGACGACCGGGCCCAGAGAGTTGTGGTAAACGCAGTTAAATCCAGCTGGCGGCCGGTCACAAGTGGTGTCCCCCCGGGCTGGGTGCTGGGACCGCTCCTGTTTGACATCTTTATTGATGATCTGGACGACGGGGTCGAGTGCCCCCTCAGTCAGTTTGCAGACAACCCCCAGTTGGGCCACAGTTTGGGAAGACGTTACCAAAACGCACTGAGAAACCGTTGTTGTTCCACTTGGTACTGTTTCTTACTTTTGACTTGGCGGTTCAAACAAATACCAAAATCAACATATCCCATACATTTTGAGGACAGTTCTGTGCATCCAAACGATTCCTTTCTGTGTCCTGAAATACTTGAGTATTTGTTCCTAAAGCTCTATAACTGAGGTGATATTGTTTGGTCCCCTCTGAGTACGTAAAGGTCTCTTAACAGATTGCCATGAATTTAAATGTTGTTGCTAACCAAAGTGGCATTCTAAAGTTCTGCACTTGATCTTCCACTTCATCTGATGAAGTGGTTTAGTTTCATAGTCTGTCTGCAAATGCAAACAACAAAAACCCAGCACACTGAGTTCAGCTGCTTCTCATCAACCACGTAGTCCCTCTGCAGCTGTCATAGCTTTGGACTTTGTTTTGAACCCACACAATTACCTTAGGTTGGAAATGTCTCTTTCCGCGACACTCGGAGGATACAGTGCAGAGTTTCAGACTACAGAAGAGGTTAACTTTTGCTATGTTTTGATTGTACAACCTGAACATGTGTTTCTTTTTTTGTGAACAGCCTCTCCTGCACCCACTCCTCTGGCCCAGCTCATTAAGGTATGTGTATGTTCTTGTCAAGGACTTAAAAAAACCCCAACAATAACAAAAAAATCCCAATTACTTCGTATTTTTAAATCTTGTACTGGATAACTGTTGTAATGTGAACAAAACTTAATTTTAAATATTTTAACTAATGCTTTTAACTTTAAGATGTGTGTATATTTCCATAGTATCCCATAAAGATAGTTCCCAGTTTGGGAAGATAGAAGTGGAGTCCCTCAACATCATGTTGCGCTATTGCTCATCTTCAAGACACAAAGCAGCAGCACTTCAGGAGCTGTTTACTGTTGCTTAGACTTTTCGTTAAGTTTGTGTTGGAGACTGACACAATTTTCGCAGGAGAATTTAACTGGCTGCAAGTCATGGACGTTCGCAACAGCCAAAATAGAAACGTTGCTGTGACGTGGACAACTGCGTGGCCACTGTTGAGTTTCTAGTCCCTGCAGTTATTTCTAGATCCGGTCTCTGAATGCTGCGCAGTTTCATAACTTGTAGTCTATGGAGAGTGGACAACACAACCGAATCTGTTTGAACATAGACTGTGTAAACTGTGCAAATGTACCTAATTGTTTGTAGGAATATACCAATGTGCGAGTGTGGCGTACTGGCAGAGGTGTCCTTCTGAGGCTGCTGTCATGCCATGGTTTGCTATGGAACTGCCTGCCTGTTTTGCTCAGCAATGTGTAACTTTGTCTGGGAAAGCCCTAGTGGTTGCACTTTGTAAAAAGGCGTAGTGTGAGCCTGTCAAATTTCTAGTCTTTAAAGTTACAAAGATTAGAGAAGCCAGGGCCTAACGCAGAGGAAACAGTTCATTCTTCTGAAAATAAAGGTTTCAGTTCATTTCCAAGAAAGAGAAATCTGTTCCCACTCTCTTCTTCCCTCTCTCATTGCAGAATTAAACTGTGCACATTTGGGGAAAAACCCCAACAGTTACTCTGGAAGGTAGTCACCAGAAGAAATTGGTCTCCATTAGTGCTGCCCCTGAACACGTCCTTGGTTCTGTAAACTGACGGGAAGTTTGACTCTAAAATGCCAAAAGCTGTCCAAGTGCTGGACACGTTTAAGCTTTTGAGAAAATGTGCATATTTCAGAAAAATGCAGGAACGAAACGTAAAGCAGCTCCAAACTGTTATACTCCAACCTCCTCAGCGCAGACGGGCTTGGCACAGAGGCAGCGCGTTGAAAAGGTTTCTGCTTTATTATTGCTACGCACGAAATGTGGTGTTTGGATTATGGTCTGTGCCTAGTGATGCTTTGTGGGGTTCGGATGTGTCTTGTAAACTGTTTGGGTTGAAACAAATTAGTCACGTATCTGTAAAGCTTTTCTTTAAACGGTAACGGAAGGGGTTTCACAGATGTCAATCTGGATTCTGTTGCTGTTGTGTGTGTGAAACAACCATTTAATAAACTGCTGGAACTAGTTGGTTGCTTTTGTGAATGAACGCGTATAAAATCAAAGCCATGAGGGGTTGATCTGAATGATGGGTTCTTGGAAACCCGTATCCTCTACATCCCTCCCTTGGACCCTGCTGGTATCCAGACTAGTGTGTAATGAGAACATTTGAACAAATGCTACTTACAAAAAAATCAGCTGGCTTGGATAATTTGAAGATCTAGTTCTGTGTAAGGTTACTGCTACAATTTGTGTGTTAGAAGGACACAGCAAACGGGAAAAAACCTGCAGGTTGTGCGGACCGTAGTTAAACCGCTTAGCTTGAAGGAGTGAGTAGGCAGGGGACATGCAGTTTGGGCTGCCTACAGCACACAATGGTCCAATTTCTACTGAAAAGAATCTTTTGTCGTGCTGAGGAACTATAAAAGGCTCGATTCCTCTTAACACTTCTGTGTCTGAAGCTGAATTTCAGCCAGCAAAAGCAACTTCCCCGATTCTGAATTTGTATGTCCTTCTAATGCTGCAAAATGTAAACCCTGACACTTGCATGCATCTCTCTCAATTAAATGTACAGTGGAGATTTTCACCTTCAAGTACTCCGGAGCTTAAGAATCCATTTAAAAACATTGGATAGGGTAATTTTTTCTAGGCATAGCTTCAGTCCACTTGGAAGACATTTGGATTGGTTACACAAGTCTTGATGTAGGGTCAAACAGAGCCTCAGGTGTTGAGTGCCCGAGAGTGCTCCTTCCAAGCAGGTTCACAGGCCCAGAGACACCCTGTGATGGCGTCAGGGCTCCCCAGGACATCTCTGGGACGACTGGCTCATACAAGCAGCTGCTTTTGTGTAACCTCAGCTACTGCCGGGCTGCTTTTTACAGGGTTGGGTGAGTCTTTGGCTGGGGAGATTAAATGTGTTTCTAATGTGCATGTCCAATAATTACCCGTTAAACAGACCGGCAGTCCGGCTGAAGCCAACGCCTCCGAAGGAGATAAAATACAAGCCCTGATGATCCAGTCAAGTAAGTGTTGGCAAAGTCTTGTCTGTTCTTTGAAGACTGTGGAGACATTGTAGAGGTGGTTGTTGGAACAAGAGAGACTTGTACATACCATTTTCTTTTTTTTCCCCAAAACTTTTAGTTACGTGAAGAAACCCTTGGGTCCACCTCCACCGTCCCGTATTTGCTTTCGCTGGGGAAAACCTGGCCACTATATAAAGAACTGCACAACAAATGGGGTAAGATTGTGGGGGACTTCTGGTGTCACTTGGATTTTAACTGTTTTACCTTGGCAGTTACACAGCAAATACACAAATACCCCTACTAGGAATTTTTTCTCTTGGTCTGAAATACAGCAATAGTGCAAAGCCCTTCAAAATTCTAGGGAAAGCTGGAATTTTCAATGGGAAATTTTCCTTCTTCGAGGTCATAGACGTTACATATGTCCATAGATCTTTCTCTGTGAACTTTAATGCATATTTTTATATATTTCAATGTTACTGCAAATTTTTCTCGCTTTAACTCTTTTTAGTGACATTTCGCAGGTTTTAGTATTTTGTAGAAAAAGATGACGTTTCTCTTGGCCCCAACTATTGAATATTTGCGTGTTATAATTACACAAGTCTTTGGTTGAGTATTCATGACATTTAACGTTACTCACTGTACGTACGGGCATCAGCTCTGAGTTCAACCTTCATCTGTAGGTGGTGAATATCAGTTTCCCCAGCGGCTGACCCAGAGCCCTGTATTAACCCCTGCCCCGAACTGCACTTCGGGCATGGTGAGCTGAGGGGTATTTCACCCCTGAGGACCCTGAAGTTAAGCCAGAGAATGTCAACTGAGTTCAAAACACTGCTCAGCCTTTGCAGCAAAGCATCCTGGCTATATTCACTTAGGAAAATGAGTATTTTAGTCAAGCAACCCTCAGGCTAGGCAAAAGGAGAGGATTAAAGGCTTTTGCTGCTTAAAATAGTGGTTGAAATGTCATTTTAAGCGTGAGTCTTAAGATGAGATCTGTCTGCATTTCTTTTCTCAACAGGACAGTAAACTTGAGTCTGCTCCCAGACTTAAAAAGAGCACAGGAATTCCCAGGAGTTTCATGGTGGAGGTGGAAGATCCCAGTGCAGAGGGTGCAATGCTGACACAGAGTGGAAGATATCTACCAGTCGTTACTAATGCATGAGTATGGAATTAGTTGGTCTGACCAAAAAAGTGAAGGAGAGAAGCCACACGTCAGTGTCGGAGTGGCAGTGCCACCGAGCTGGCCAGCATCTCTAATCACGGGGGCAGCAGTACTGTCATTGTATCTTCACCTTAAAAATCGGTGATGATTTCTGATATTAAAATAGGGCGGTCCTGCTGTTCACACCCCTGAAAGTTGGTTAAGCTTATGCTACGCTAAGAATCCCTATTTCTGCAAAACATTTCAGTCCTGTTTACAGTGGCATCATTTTTTTGAAAGCGCCTTTTGCTTCTGTTTTATCTTTGTAAGGCTTCTTGCGGAATTTAACAAATAGCCGTTGGACTGAGATTCCCTCCACATCTATCAGATCCCCTGTGTGAAGCAGAGGGATGTTTTCCTGTGGCTGTAAACTAAGAAAATCCTGCTGTGTGCTGACAGGAGTGGCTGTTTTAAAACGCACTTGGGAGCCCCTCTGTCCTTCTGCCATGGATCTCCCTTTGCAGAAGCTCTAACATAGATTTCTTCCAGTTATAAAACATAATCAGGCGGAGACTGACTTTGTCCTGAGCCTGCGATTGACATTTCCCCCTGGCAAAGGAGAGGTGGGACTGATGTCACCTGGTCTCTAGCTGTCAGAAAATGATTTCTCTAGTCTGAGCTAATTTCTCAGTTGATCCAATGAAGGGAAGAGTTCTGCAGAAGGAAAACTGTTCCCCCCTCCCTTTTCTAGTGCTTCGGCTAGAGAAAAGGAGTTAAAACCAAATGCCTACATTTTTGAAGGCTAATGTGGAGTGAGTGTGCCACCTACTGTCTTCACTGGATAAAATTCAAAGCTTGGGAAAGTTCTCCTTTACCCATCATTAACTTTTTTCAGGGAAGCTTATGCCAGAGGAAAGAAGGAGAAGCCTCCCTTTTTACCCGAGGAGCCGTCCTCTTCCTCCCTCTCCTCCTCCTCAGACGATCCTATTCCGGGAGAGCTGTTATGTTTCATTTGTAAAGAAATCATGGCTGAGGCAATAGTTATTCCCTGCTGAGGAAACAGTTACTGTGATTAATGTAAGTGTTACTCCCATGTTTGTTAATTCAAAACCATCACACCTGCTCTTCTGAAAGCAGAAGGATAATAAAATTCCTTTGTTACCAGCTCTGTTTAATACTTAAGTATACCCCGAATAGGAAAGGACTCTTCTTGCAGAAAAGAAAAAACAAAGGCAGAAGAGTTTTTTTCCCTTTTTATGCATCTAGTTAAACCCTCTTTACATGTGGAAGGATGAGTACGAGAAGAGTGTCTAAGTGTGCAGCTGATTACAGTATTAGTTATCAAATGCATTTAGTTTGTGCGCAGTCCTTTCTCTCATACAAAACTGTAGAGCCAATGCTGGTGAGTTACTGTGGTCTGCAGCAAATGGGTCGTTAGGATTTAATCCACATTATTCTCCACGGGAGAGTTGTTGAGAGATTAGTAGTTGAACCTGCTAACGGTTTTTGGAGGTGTCTTATTCATTAACCTTGAGGTTGGTGACTTCTCACTGTGCTGGACAGTGGAGAACAGACGAGTAAAAACATCAAGACACGGCCGACTCTACATCTTTGAATGTCACAGTAGTGAATTGTCAACACTGGGCAGCTCTTTCCTGCATACTAGACATTTTTTACACTGCTGGACATTTATAGCTTCATGCTCTCAATTCAGGACTGCATCACCCATTAACCATCTACAG